CCGGTGCCAGCCCAGCCTCTGCCTCTGGACCACGCAGACAGCACCACAGCAGGATGCTTCCCCAGGAGCATTTCCAGCCGCTCTGTAAGTTACTGACTGGGAAGAAGAGTGACTTCAACAGTTCATCTCCCAGTAAACAACTTCTCCCCTCCCTTTCCTGGCTGAGGCCGCTGTGGCTGTAACGCCCTTGAGCTCTGCCTGTCCTTTTGGGGCTCAGCAGCACCCAGGGGATGGGCTCGCTAGTGCTGCTGCCCCTCAGCTCTGGCCTTTGGTGGGTGGGAGCCAATGCTGTGGCCAGGACAAGGCGTGCTCCAGGGCTGCAAAATACGCAGCTGGCTGCTGCTTTTTACCTTCAGGGGCTGCTCATGGCTCTTGGCTTGCTGGATCTGCATGCCCCGTGCTTACCTGGTGCTGCAGGCTTGCAGACACTCAACCACCCCTGCTCAGAGACAAGCAGTTGTGCTGCTGCACGGCTCTACTCGGGCACCTTTAAGTGCCACCCTTTGCTGTGTCCCCAAGGTTTTACTCAGCCTTTCTGCAGCTTCATCTGGGGTGCTTTGCAGGGGGGTGGCTTTGCTTGCTGTCTGTTCCTGCATGCAAGTCGTGTCCCTTCCCCACGGCACAGGCCCTGGGCAGCAGTGCTTCTCACGGCCCGTGCCCATGAGCACTGTGAAGCAAACAGCCAACCTTTCCCCCACTGTGAACGCCATAAACCTACAAACTGTAATGAAACCCAAAAAGGACAAAAAGATTCAAGGACAAATGGGTCGTGCAGGACTGATCTGCACCGAGAGTTCCCATGTTCTGTAACCCCATTAAACTGGCACTTGCTCACATCTTGGGTTTTGCGACTTGTCTGTTTCTAGAGTCTTCCCCCCCTCATATAAAAAGCAGACAGAGAAGAGCCTTCCCATTTCTTTAATCTGTGTAACTCACAATGATACTGTACACAAAGCACACCCAGGCATTGGAACGATGCACTAACAGCAAGGAGGAGAAAGAAGTTGTACAGAAGGGTTTGTCACACACAAGCGAGTCATCGGCACGGTGCTGTACACCCAGGGGCGTACCCAGCGCCCTCGGGCATGTCCTCTGGCGTTCCCCACGTGCCTCTGTTACCCCTAAAGCAAGTTTTTATAAAGAAAAATATAACTAACATCCTCGGAATATAAAATTGACAGTCGAAGGGGTATCAACAGGCAGAGAGGGTGCTGAGGAGGACAGGGAGGGGGACCGTAAGGCTTCTAGAACTAATAGGAAATGCAGCAAACAGTGGCGATACCTGAAGAAGGGGCTGCTGCAGCAAGCACGGCGGGCGGCCGGGGCTGCCGGGCGGCGCGGGGGGGGTTGTTGTAACCCTTTGGCTAGTTCCTGCTCTCGGCTCGCGTGTCGGACACTGTAAACGTTTTTGGTATTAGGATTTCGCCTCATCTTGACGGAGTGACGTGGAAACCCAGCAAACCGGCTCGGAGGGGATGCATGGGCTCCTCTGTTTATTCTTAAAAGACTTTAAAGGGACAGCGTCAGGTAGAAAGTCTGGCCCGATGGTGCAGTAATACAAAAAGCTGCTTGTCTTTATAAAACCTCTGAGCTCCGCAGCAAAGTTTGATTCCCATGGAAACAATGAAGAACAAGGAGAGGCTGAGGCAGCCTGTGCAGCGCGGGCTGCGTTGTGCTCGTGTGTGAGAACAGGACGTGGGCTGCAGCAGAAGCAGCGCGACCGTCGCTGGTCGCGCCAAGGGCTGCCCAGACAACGGTGAAGGGAGGAAGGATTACAAGAAACTTCAGATTCTTTTCATTGCAAACAAGTGGTTTGTAACAAAAGGTAAAATTAGGTCTTTAACCTGACAGTGCCCCTTTAGTAAGGATGGAATATACATTCATCTTTTCCCTCACTGCATCCAGACGGATCCTCTTCCATACAGGTGGAAAGGCATCGGGTCACATGCATTGCTCTCCAAAACAGCTCGGAACAAACAGGTTATAAACACAGAGTTAAACTATTGCTATTGTTCTTTGAGTGAGTAGCATGTTGATCTTTGCTTCAGATAGATGAGTGCCAGATGGGGGCGGCTGAGGATAGATCGATGTAGACTGTGATGGACTGAATCGGTGGAGGAAAACTTACTGGCGTGTTTCCTGGTAACTACACCCACCTCCTCTGGTATTATTGCAGCAATAAAGGTCCTGCTCTACCATTGCTTCCCCGTGTTGGATCTGTACAATGGCAACGGATGGGGGGCCAGGGAAGGGACCTGGGCAAGTTTCAAGAAGCTCAACAAAGGATGAGGACGGAGGTGCTATGATTGTCGGTCTAACTGGTTAGTAGCCATTTAAAACATGGAGTGATGGAGAGGTGAGTATAATATTGCACTTCTGCATTCATTGACGTTACATTAAACTTGGTCCATAAAATAATTGCTTTGTACATAATGCCTGAAACAAAAAGCTACATTTTTAAATATTAATAAACCCTGAAGGTTCCAGTCCCTCCAGACATTTGTTTTGTGTTTTTTTTTTCCTCTACATAAAATAAATAACTTTCAATTTTATATATCCACTTTTTATGTTGAACATTTACATTCGCCTGTTTTACACTATCTACACATAAGAAAATGTGAACATCTTGTCAGCATTGGAAAATGTACAGATCATGCCTCGGTTGTGGACTTGGAGGAAAGTTGAATTTTGCAAAGGCCATACCCAAATTTGCAGGAATTACTGTGTGATGTGGTTTGGTGACTTCACAGGATGGATTGTGGCTTGGCTTCCTACTCAGATGGCATCTGTTGGATAGAACATTCGACTAGCAAAAAGCTGCGACAACTCACGTTGGTTTTAAACCCAGTCAAGCTCTGGATGTACATTCAGAGAGAGCTTAAACCGAGTCGGCAGAAAGGGAAGTCAGTTTTCGGTAACAAAAGTCATCAGATACATTCTGTACTTGAATCATTATCAAAGAGAAGTGGTTAAACATGTTGCAGTCAAGGCTGCAAGACGTGGGAGCTGCACTGGGCAGCGGGTGGGCAGATGGGTTCCAGTGCTCCACCAGCAGCTCAGCACTGACCCTCCTCTGCCTCCGCTTCGACCCTGTGCGCCACGAACACAAGGTCTGCCTCGGGGGTCTGATAAGATTTGCCTACCGTGGCCCAGAGCCAGTGAGCAGAGCAGCGTTCACAGTGCTGTGTATCTCAGTGCGGCCGTCCTGCACTTCAGATTGAAACAGGTAATAAAACGAAGCAGCCAGTCTAAAAAATTCTTTGTTATAAAGAAGATCCTCGTAAGTAGAAAGTGATATAAAGACAGGGAAGTGTGGAGGGGAAGCGGGGTTACACGCAGTCGGGGAGCTCGGTAGGACTATAAAATCTCCACGTGAAGAGGCCAACTGGAGTCTGTAAATGGGCACCACGGGGTGGGTGCCCCTCTGCCCCGGGAGGTGTGTGCAAGGAGGGAACTGGACCCATTGCCAGGGCCAGGCTGACCCAGGAGGGACAGGACTAAGGGGCTTTTGGTGCGCCCTCGCTCTAGGCACTGCTCTCCTCCAGTGCTGCTGTCCCTGTGCCGCTCGCCCTGCACACCCACAGCTCCCCTCTGCCATGCACCCGGCCCTGGCTTGCTCCAGCAGCACAAAACCATCAGCTGAGGCACATCCACTGAGAAACACACCAGGAAATTTTAAGATATGGCCTTTTCTTAAGGTTGCCTGATGTTGGCACACTTCCTTACAGTCTCCTTACTGCTGGGAAAACTTCTGCACAGATTGTTTTTTTTCCTTTATAAATATGTACATATATATATATATGTGTGTGTGTGTGTGTGTGTGCATATCTATCAGCACGTAATGTATATATATACACACACACCCTGGCTTAGCAATAGTTCATTGTCATGCACTACAGACAGTTAGGTGTAGCTACATGAGATGGTAACAGGTTTCCATTCTAAAAATCATCAGTGCAAAAAACAATGAGGTTTTACAGTTCAGTAACTACAGGTAAAAGAAGCAAGTCTGGTTTCCCAAGAAAGCTGCTACTGAACTTGGAGAGAACCTGGGAAGAAGAAATCGTCTCAGAGGTGGGTGTTGAGAGAGTCAGACCCTGCATTTGGATGAGAAGAACTGCAATGCAATGTAGCTGCTGAGTGCCTTCAGCTGCTTCCGAATATATGGTGGTTACTTTTGGAAAGGATATATAGCGAGAATATCTGGAGACTTTAACAGCAAATTAAGTGTCTGAGGTTTGTAACAGCTCAAACAAAATAGCTTGTGTTCCTCTTTTAATAGGTCAATGCATTGAATTCCATCGGCTTCTAAAAGGTCTCTTTAAAAAATAACAGTAATAACAATAACGACCCCACTTTTTTGGGCGTGAATCTGCCGACACTCTGCCCCTAACAACAGCATCGACACATCTTTATGCTTGGCCACTGCGTGTTCTCCTTGAGAAAGTGGCTGCACTTGAAGCTCTTTGTACAGGTAAAGCTCTCGGTTGCTCTGCCTGGCACAGCCCGTGATAAATCCCTTGCTTGGGGCTGTCTGTGCCAGGAAACAGCGTTATCAAACCCCAAACCCACCCCGTGCTGGTACCAGCAGAGCAGTCTGACTCCTGGGACAACCAAGAAGTTCCCCAGCCTCATCCCCTGTTCCTGTGGCTCTGAGGACAGCACTCGGTCACGCGTATCGGAGCGATGGCTAACAAGGCGAGGAGGCACGTATTTACAGTCACTAAACCTGGATAAGAGAAGGAGGCAGGAGAGAGTGCCATCTTGACCTGGAGACTTTTCCCCCCCCGATTTCCAGCTGTTCCTTGGGCTCATGCTGCACAAACCTGATGCTCCCGCTGTAAGGCCTGCACGTTCTGCGTGGGAAACATCCCGCCTCTTCCCAGAATACCATGATGTTATTAGAGTAGCACCATATTTACCCTTCCAGCCCGTAACGCCGGCCTCTTCCCTCTTTTCGTTTTCTCCTCCGGTGGCT